TGTGAAGGATCGTTGACTGTTAATTCTTATGTGACCATTTTTAATAACAAACTGTGTAGATCTTATGATTTAAGAACCAAATATGAGATTTTTGTATATGAAATTAAAAATACAAAATACAAAAATGATAATAAATTAATAATTATCTGAATGTAGGCATTCAATCCACACAATTAAAAGTTGTGCACTTCAATTTATATTTTTGTTTGTTTTATTCAAGTATAAAACTAGCAAAAACCACTGCAAAGATCATCGGAAGTCACTAAATTTTAGCTTTAGCGACCCATAACCATCAGATCATTCGGCCTTTCCTCCAAATTCTACTCTCATGGAAATTTAAGCCACAAAAACCCCTCTCAACTCTTCGGCAAAAGTCACTTCTGCAGCTCTTAAAATGCACAAACAATTAATAGTTAACTCTGCTAATGCACATTTCATGCCAGGCAAAAGAGTAAACAATCTCAGAGAGGAGTCCTCACTCGAAAGACACCACCACTCGAACGACACATGCCACAAACGCACTTCAATCAGGCAGTGGCAGTGGCCGTGGCAGACCGGCTACTCTTGCCACTGAAAAATTCTCAAACTAACTTATAAACGAATAAGTGAATGAAAAACCAGAGTTCACTTTTTGGAGTGGAAAAAACTAACCAAAAAAAAAAAAAAGAAGTAAAGGGAAAGCTAGAGGAGGGAAAGGGGAATTTTTAGTAGCGATTGATAAAGGGCTGCAGTGGCAGTTGCATAGTAGCTGCCAGAACTGGCTGCAGCACTGCGAAAGGCAACGCACAACAGGCAAACACAGTCGAAAACAGCAAAGCAAATATAAACAAAGAATTTAGCTTAAAAATACATTAACCCACTACTGGCTGAAGGGAACACAGACAAGGGACGTGTGGAAGGGGCATGTGGCATTGCACTGCAGCCAACTGCTTGAAAACTGCATACGTAATGGGCGTGTGTACGCAGGAGGTACAGTGGAGACTTCACGCGAAAGAACCTATGAGATTTTGTACTCTTTGAAAAACGAAAATTTAAAATTCCTAAATTTAAAATTAAATTTTTGTTATGGATTTTTTATGCTGCTTTTATATTGAGATCTAAAATTAATTTCATAATTCGAATTATTTTAGTTTTTGATGCATAAATGTTTATAAGTAAAATAAATGTTAAAAAATGCTTTTAAGCTACCAAAAAAAACCCTTGAAGAAACCCTTCCAACATTCATCTCCTGGCAACCTCCACTGTACCAAAACTTTGGTTGTTTTGCCTCCCTACTAGCATCGATGCAGATCAATGGCAATGCACGCAGTACATCCAGTGTAAGGGGGGAAAATAGAAGCAAACAGAGAGGGATATACTATAGAGAGATAGAGTGAGAGAGAGTCATAGAGTCAGAGAAAGAGGTCTAGGAAGAGAAATCCCAGCCAAAAAACCCGTCAGCTGTTGGCGAAAACTTTTTGTCGTCAGTGCAATGCAGAGCTTATTGCTCCTTTATTTATCCTTTATATCTCTATTTGTTGTACGCTGTTCATTGGGTTTTCTCTTCATTTTTGTTGTTTCCTTTTTTTTTTATTTGGATTCGGGTTTGTCGTTTGCTCTAACAAATTTACAAATTGTGCGAAGTGGGAACGGGAAAAGCAACATAAAATTGCAAAAATATGATGATGATGCCATTGATGATGATGGCAGAGATTTTCTGTGGATATTGTGCGACTTTTGTGCGAGAACTTTGTTTGATCAAAAGTGAAACATTTTACTGACAATTGAGTAAATATAAATTGTTTGTGATTTCAGTTTATTCAGAATCCGTTTTAGCAAGGCTTTTATTTGAAGGGCTTTACCAGAGAGATTTATATGCGATTTAGAGATGAAAACAAAAAAAAATTTAAAGTTGACTTGACGTTTTTGGACAATCAAAAACAATTAAAAATTAATTTAAAAAATGAATACAAAAAAATTAGAAATACCACAAAAAAAAAAAAAAAGATCGAATAACATATACAATATTATAAAAAAAACCGTCATAGCACAATTAAAAACAGTAAATTTTAATTTAAAAATTACTATACAAATTCGAATACCATAAAAATACTAGAAAATAAATACCAATCAATAATAATTGAATATTCTGTTGTAAATTTTCCATAGTTCAAAATGTGAGACACACACCCAAAATTAAATTATTATGTATGACATTTTCATCTACATTTTGTCGCATTTTTTGTGGGGCTTTTCAGTGTAAAGTAAACAATTTTCCTGACATTTAGAGCCATTCCTGGTACATTTTTACGCACCTCATTCCACGCCATTATCGTGTGGCAGTAAAAGCTGTCAGCATTTAGCAAAACGGAAAGTCCTCTGAGGTCAGAGGAAGTCCCACTCAGCCAGAAATGATGTACACCCAGGGAAAAGTCAAGGCTGTCAAGGCTTATTATTGCCAAAAAAAATGCTCTTTAAATAAATTCAAGTGGCGAACACAGCTCCCCGTAGAAATCCTTCTAATTAGAATGACCCCCCAGCGGAGGACACACACAAAGTTGCAGCTACGAGATGTGACCGGAATCCCTGAAATATCTGCCAATGCGGCAGATTCTCGTGGCTACGTTTTTTGTTTGCTTTTCGGCTTGCAGAAAGTTGCCTTCGTGTGTTTTCCTTAGCCACGGGCTCCGGGTCACAGGCCAGAATTCAGATTTATTTTTTGGGGATGCTAATTGGTCGGACTTGAAATGGCCCTGAAAGTGCCATCAGAAATAGAGAAAAATGTTCTAGATTTTGGATGGAAGCAAACAAACTAAATATCGAAGAAAACTCTAATATCCGATGGATATCCTCTTCGGCTTAATCGCATTTAACGCTTCTCAAAACACACACCCAAACGATTATGAACAAATTTGAGCAGAAAAACCCGAACAAAGCAAACACTAAATAGCCTCATTAAAATTTAATTTTCAAACAAAAAAAAAAGCCGGAAAACATAGCACAACAAAGCAGGGAACTTTATCCGTCTAACAATTTATTAATTTAATTACAAAACACTTTGGCAAACTCATAAAAAAGTGCATAAAATGGCCCCGCCCACACACCCACTTGTTCCCACTTTTATTTTTTGGATGTTAAATCTGTTTTGGTCTATGAGGCAAATGCTCCATCATGTGTGCCGCACTCCCTCCCACAAATGGGGGAAGGGGCATCAGAAATTGCTTAATTTCATAAGCGAGTCATAAGGGAAAAAGTTTTGTGTGTGTTTGCTAGTGGGGTGGTAGAGGGGCAGGGGCCTGTTTGCCAGACTGCGTGTGGGACAGAAGAACCCACAAAAAGCTAACTGGCGACACGCTTAAAAGCCATAAAAAATATCAAAATTTTCAAGAGAAAGTTTCGCCTGGAGAGCTGCAGAGAGATGGCCAAAGAAACATCTTTCAGCAAACGATACATAGGACATGGCAGTGCGTTTCGGGAGTATAAGGAAGGCAGGGACATTATGGAGTATGCCAAACATATGTTCATTGGAACTCTTCTTAATGGAATATTTTGATTGAACTTTCATCCCGGAAAGCTGATTTCATGGGAGACCTATTTTTCATGGATCTTCGAAAGCGATATAATTCTGTCACGCACTGTACATAAACACACACACACACATTGCTCTCAAACAGAAACTTAAGATATTACAAACGTTGACAAAAAGTTTTAAAAGTAAAAAATAAAGTCAGAAAATAGAGAGGGAAATAAAAAGGAAAAAGGGATGGAGCAGGAGAAGAAACCTCAAAAAACTTAAGATAAACAACAAATGGAAAGAGCATTCAAATTAATTGATATACTCGTAAAAAACTTCAGACACATGTCTGCACATGTGTGTGCCTCGATAAAAAGTTACCGCTAACTGGAATTGTCCTATGAAGAATTTCTGAAAACAGATCCGATTGTGTTGAATTTTGGAATTTAGGTAGAATATATCATTGTCTGCCAGAGTAACAAAGCCACAGCTCAAAATGTTTGAAATTGAGGATGCTACAGAGTTTGGAACACTCATCACAAAAGTATTTAAAGCTTTTCGATTGCGATAAAATTTAGTAATTTCTTTATCTATAATTCTGACAAAAGAAAGCTCCATACCTTTAAAATTGCGACTACCAGTATTTACAAAAGTAATCAAAGGTTCTACTACAATCTAGAGTCTCAGACATCGTGAGACATAGAGACATAGACATAGAGACTCCACCTCAAAAAAACCCACTTAAAATCAGACTTCAATTCTTAAGAAAAATCGTGTAAATCCTTAATTTAGTTAGTTCAGTCGTTCGACTTTTAATTTAGAATAGAAATACGGATAAACCAGAGCATCATTTATCAACTGCTTTCCAGGGTGAGAGAGAGAGAGCGGGAGAGAGCGAGTGTCTCCAGGGCAAATCTTTATGACTTTTCCGGTGTTTCCTTTAGCCCTTTATCCGTTTCCCTTTCGGGCAAACTTTGTTGCAACACGTGCTACACGAAATGGGAATGACTGTGTGAGTGTGGCAGCGGGAATATGGCTCCATGGGGATAATATTTTGCCTAACTTTATTGAATTCCCCCGGAAAATCTGCATGGCATTCGCATACGGGGCGGGGGAAACTTACTAGACAGCAAACAATTTGCAAGAGGGGGGGAACGGAAATAGAGGGGAACGGTAGTGCATTGAAAGCAAATTTATGGGGGCGCCAAAGTCAAATGGAAAACTCGAGAATTAAGGCAGTTTTTCCTGTGCCTCTGGCAGACGGGAAATGTTTCTGGGTTAGCCAGAGAGAGAGAAGAGGGATTGCGGCATAGTTTAAGCCAAAAATTTAAACTAAACGTGAGATCTTTTATCATACAAATTTAGGCATCGAAAATTGCAAAAGTAAATGCCCAAAGGCCAATGGAAAAACTCTGATAACAAAACCGTGTGAAAAACGCTCCAGAAAATAAAAACATTGCATCATAAAATCATAAAAAACCAAACCCCAGGCCCACGAAATAAAAGAGAGAGTGAGCAAGAGTAGGTGTGAAGGAGCGGGAGGAGAGGCGCTCGGTTCAGGATTACAGAGAGGAGGATGCACTTTGGCCAGGAGACGAGGCCATCTGTGGGTCTGCTCCTGGCGGTTGCTGTGGCTAAACGGTCGCCGAAGGCCACAACAGCAAGTTGATGTTGCTGCCATCTTGGCATCTAATTGGGGCCCTCCTCGTGCTCACGGCCACAGCGGGGGACTCCACCAACAACAAGATCATCTTGCCACAAATACTGAACGGTGGAGATGCCCCTGGCAAGCATCCATCCGGAACGAAGACAGCAAACGGTGCCACAAATGGCGGGGGAGCAGGACTCGTCGGAGTCGTTGGTATCGCCACAGGAACTGGCAATACGGTGGTCGGAAGCAATGGCGTGATTGTTGCCGGTGGCGGTGTTGTGGCCAATGGCCCAACCACGAATTTAAACAGTGAGTATCTTTCCTACATACATACATACATACATATATACTTTAAATGTATTCAAATGCTAAATGTAAATGTCTACACTGTGCTACATAAATTGTGTGATTTTTGGAAGGAGAAGCGTGTGGAAAATTATGAATACTCGTAGCTAAACAAAAATCCAATATCCAAGTGAAAGAATCTTTGAAGTGGCTTTTTGCTAATTTTGTTTTTAAAGATCAATCGAGAAAAGACTCTTATAAATTGGAAATGAACGAATTTACATGTATTTAGTAAAGCAAATTTCAATCTGAAAGATCCTTCACAGTATTACATATTTTTACACAATTTACCATGTAATAAACGAGGCTGTCTATAGCTGGGGTGCCTCGCAAATATAGCGTCGCTTATCAGAACAGCTTACGTCATTCATTCGATTGAACGCTCTATCATACGTATAAAACACTTCATCGCAGTGCTCGGTTCCGTTCTTATTATTTGGCTCCCCCGGACTCCAGATGCTCAGTGTGACGTTCTCACCAGTTGAGTGCCATACATGTTTACCATCTATCGCTAAATCATTGCCTGCTTTCCAGTATATACCACTGATTGTATTATTTCGGACATACTCCAAAATCGAATCCCATTCTTCGATGGTTTCGAATGCAATCAACTCGGCATTTAGACGTCGACACGACTCATACGCATCAAACCAGTTCGTGCCTTTTATTTTTCGGTGGAAATAATAGTAACCATCGCCGATCTTTTCAAATGGTTCTGTGTTAATGTTCAGAGTGTCAGGAATTCCTAAAGCAAACACCAGGGAAGTAAATAAAATGCTGGCTAAAGTGACTTCTCACGATATTACCATCTACGATATTGGGTGTTATCACATACGCCACCGACAATGTATTTCAGCAACATATTTGGCAAGACTATACGATTCTTCTGTTGGGTTGACTCTTTTATACCCCCGAAAAAACAAAAAACAAAAGCAACCTATCAAACCGGAAACTACAATAGAACAATAAATCTTCTGTAACGTTGACTCTTTTATACCAGACAACAGACTATCTTATCGACTAGGGTGTATCTATCTATTCTTGGAATCTCGTGCCATTATTTAATTATAAATTAATTTCCTTAATGCCTTTATAAATTTAGTATATTAAACTATTAAACTATATTCTCAGAAAACCTTACCAGACTGGACTCTTATCTATTTTTTGTTAGCTTCTCTTAGCTTCTCTTTGTTATGACGCTATGATTATTATCTCAGTCAAGTGGAGCGAAGAAAACAGGAGATATCCCCAACATTTCCCTATATTCAAAATAATGTAACTTCTGCACATCAAAACTCTGTAGCACAGTGTAAATATTGCACTCTTACATTGGCCGTATATTTATCCGCGGCGAGTGTTGCCTGCCCCGTGGCTGTGACTCTCTGACTCTATCGTTGCTGCTGCTGCCACCATGATGATGGTATCAATAACACGCGGATATATCTCGTATCTCTCGTCATATTTACACAGCAAAATAGAGGGCGACACATGGTAGGAAAGGAAGGGATCCGTTCCGGCAGCGAGGGAGACACAGAGAGAGAGAGACAATAGAGAGGCGCCTCGGGTCATAAGTGATAAACGGCTTTATGCCAAAAATGAAAAGCAGGCAGAAGGAGAGCAGCTGCTGCTGCACAGATATGTGACAATAAAAAAAAAGAAATACGCCTCCGGGGGTTAAGTGTTGCTCTCTTTTTCTGATGTTATATCCCTATCCTCCACAACCCCCTACAACTGCTACTGCATGCCACATTCTCCCCCCACAAATGCCGGCTGTCATTGTTCTCAGGTGCAACAGTAGCCGCCGCAGCAACAAAACCAACAGAGGAGAAAGAGATTTGTGTGCCCTGAAAGTCGAAGGTTTAGACACACTTAGAAAAAAAAGTTATAGTTTTGATATTGGATACAGTCAATAGCAAACATCATAGCCCCAGCATTTTCTATAGCCGTGTTAGTTAAAAAAAATGTGGTATATTTTGTGGGCAGAAAAAAAAACAATTTAATTAAAAATAATACCAAAGTTTTACAAAAGTTTTACGGAATGATTAGGAGTAGATGAAACTTTGTATTTTGCTCCAAAATATTCTTAAATCTTCCTTAAGCTTCAGTTAAATATAAACCACATATAAATCAGCAGTCCATTGAAAATATATTCTCAAATCTCTTCTAAATCTTCTAAATCTCTTCGCCACCAAAGAGTGTCTCCAATGCGCTATCTTTCCCTAGCACAAACTGTCATCGCTCTCTCCTTCCTATCCCGCGGAACTTTTGCATTCGTTTTGTTTTTGTTTTTGTTGGGATGTCGCTTTTTGAGGGCGTGGCCGCCGCCTCGTCTCGAAAATTTATATGCAGACACGCGCTCTGGCGCGTAAATTGCAGCTGGATGAAATCCCATGATTATGCAGAGAATTTTGCCCCCCCTACGCCCACTGCGTAAACGTTGCACGCTTGACTTGCAACAGTGTTTGCTCGTTGCATCCATTGCACACATTTTTTATGGGTGTCAATTTTCTAGTAGGAGTCGCCTCCGACGGATGGCCTCACGATGGCTGGCTGGCCTTTTGCTCTCTGTGGAGCCTTTCACTAATTTATGCAACATTTTGTGTTATTGTATCGTTAATTAGTTGCTGGGGCTTGTTAGGCACTAGGGGGCATGGTCAACTGTGACACAAATGGTGGTGTTGCGACGATGATCGACTGTGTAGATACCCTTGGTACCCCTTTTTCATCTACTTTCTATGGGAAATTCTTCATAAAAGAAGGTTATGTCAAAGGTTTTTTCTGCTGCTGCATTGCCAAACCCATAAACCCTTGTATTTAAAAGGTAATTCCAAGCCCTGTGGCCACCCTTTTCTGTTCGAGAGTCAACTGTCGAATCTCTATTGACCTGTGGGCGCACACACACATTTTCTGCACCTCCTCCCACCACCCCCACAGTGCCAATTCCACTTGCAACAAATGTGTAACTCTATATCGCATATCGCTTATGTGTTTATGTGTATATAGTGTGTATATAAATATATATGTACTCACCCTAAATATATATATATGTATAGCTGGCAGGCAGACGCCAGCGGACATCATAAATAGATAATTAAGCCAAAGCAATGGATGCAAACTGTAAACTGGAGAGGCCTCTCTACCGTTTGTTTCTCTATCGTTTGTCGTCGTCTGTGAAAATATGAAATATGTATATTTGAATGTAGAACGAATGCACAAAATCATAAATTGCAATTAAAATGTGGGGCTTTTCCACCGAATTTTCGCATTTTCCACAAAGTGCAAATATCAAACGGAAAGAGCATAATAAATCGAAATATTCAAGGAATTTTGTTTTGTTTTGTTTTAAATTGAGTATTTAATATTTTGCTTACTGTAACAAAAAAAGTGCCTAAGATGGTAAATTTTAAAAGATTTTTTCGGTCAAATATTTACCCAAATAATCCTCTAATTAAATATTATTTTCTTTGATTTACAAAATAATTTACACATTTAATTGATCAATTTATCACACATTAGAAACTCTCATTCTTTGAGCATCTTTCCACGCTTAATTTCCAAAAATTTCTATTGAAATTCGAGGCATTTAATATGCTCATAGCCATTGCCTTTTGCCAGCAGGTGAAGCAAGGAGTGATTGCTAAATAATTGCTGTTGCAAACAGAATAACAGGTTAATTGAATGACCAAATTAAAATCATTTGCTCCATTTGGCTATCCAATTCGCAAAGTCAACAAAAATTGAATTTCTATATTCAATATTTGATTAAGTTACAAACAAATTAGCAGCTAAATGATTTAGGCCAAGTCGCCTCTTTAGAAAATGCTAAAGAGAATTTCCACATGGAAATTCTACAGTCATTAAAACTTTAATGAATGCAGCATGCAACGTGCAGCAGCTGCTGCTGCCTGCAGGAGTCAGCAAAATGGGGAAAAAGCAAAAATAGTTCAACTTGTTGATGTTTCAAGCGAAATAACGAGAGGGGGGCGTGGGATGTGCGCGAACATGTGTTTAATTATATTTGTACACATTTTCTATTGTTATTACAGGGTATTCAAAGGGAACAAAGAGTATATTGTAGTCGGGGCAACTATATTGGGTATAGCTAGAGGAATGATATTTGGTTTGTTGATATATAATAAATGTATACACCGAAATTCTAAAATTCATTACAATCGGATAACTTTTACAGTCCCTGCACAAAATGTTAAATCTTGCTACAAAAAATAACTTTGGATCAGTTACATATAATTCAACAAATAATTGCAGCTCCTATACGCAAACTCATTAGCTGTTTCCCATGTATTTGCAAATCATTTCAAGAGTTTTTGTTCCCCACCATTTAGGAGGTATCCTCCAGTCGAAAGCCTACCCATTTGCAGTCCTTGCCCCCCCAGGCAAATGCCTCAACAGCAGCAGGCAATAATGATTCCATGCAGAAATCAATGAAATAATTATTTTCCACTACTCCACCATAGAAAATTTTGCCAATCCAACAGAGACCCCCTCGTGCAACCGCTATTGGCGATGGGTTCCACAAAACATTTTTACAATTAATTTTGTGCGCATAATTGATTTTTATGGTTTATTTGATTATGCAAAATGCAAAATACCAAATGCAATCCAAAAGCATGACATATTGACATAGGAACCCACCCGAAGCGAACACCCCCGAAAGCATAACTTAGTCAAATATGAAATATCAAATGAAAATTGAATAAATATTTTATGCACTAAATTAAATCGCATTCTCTCTGTCTCCATTTCTATTTATTGATATTAATTTTGCAGTTGTTGTCGAAGAACCCGAATTTACTGAATACATCGAAAATGTAACTGTACCTGCCGGACGTAATGTTAAACTCGGATGTTCCGTTAAGAATCTGGGATCATATAAGGTAAGACTTTTTACAACTGAAAAGCATAAGGGAAATGTTCTTATCGGAGGTTGCTAAATATTTACAGATTTTTTGTTGGTTGAGAAGAAATATGATGGGAGCTTTGCTGCATTTCATTTAATTTAATTCTTATGAGAGCTATATAATAAATATGGATCATTTTATTCGAAAGATTTTTATATCCATATTTTCCATGCGTTTTATTAGCGTCAAATATTTTTCGTGACTTTTCAAAATAATCTTTCGCTTTAAATCGCAAATAAAAATAATAAAAATTCGTCCTTCTATTCAGTTATCTATTGAAAAAAATACCCTTGAATGCACACAGCGAGAGAGAGGAGGGACCCTGAAATGTGCTGACATTGCGTCTCGCTGCATAGTTTTTATGCATCATTAGCACAAAAATAGAACCAAAAAGGAGGCAGAGTAAAGGGAAGAAGGAAAAGGATGCAGAGAAAGGAGAAAGGGAAAGCATGAAAGGAACGTGAAATGATTTATTAATTAAGGAGCTTGTAATGAGTGCTAATGATTTGATTACTTGGCATAAAAACGGTGTTCAAACGAGAGATTAGGAGGGGCGAGAGAAAGCAGAATGGAATGCATAGCAAATGAGGCGCGAGGAACAGCGCGTGGAACCGATGATAAGACGAGAAGGAAAAGTCAACTAATTAATAATCCCTCAATGGACATTCAAACACGATGATACGAGTAGACGACCCATCAAATTACCAACTTTGAAAATAGAGAGAGAGAGAGAGGATGATCCTTGGCACACAGGACTGACTAGCTGGGGGCATCATTAGAGGACACTTCACACTGAAATTCCAAGCTGCAGCTCAAGTACCTATCGCACCATCATCCACTGGGCGCAAGCGGCTTGTTAGCAAGCAAGCAAGTAAAAAAAAAACACCCGGCAAACCCATTCAATAGTCTCGTCTGAACGCAGGAGGAAATGGAATCAAATTGAGGTGTAAATGGGGGGGAGAGAGAGAGAGGGAGAGAGAGGGCAAGACCCAGCGAAAAACCTATATACAGGAACGTGCAATGCATGAGGAAAAACTACTAAGGAAAATGCCAAAAGGAAAAGTGTTGGAACGAAGCACAGCTCACATTCTCTCTCTTGGTTTAGCCTTAGAGTCTGATGGCATGTTTAAGTAGCAATAGCAGTGGCAGAACGCAGTGGCACTGGCAGTGGCAGTGCCATGTGGCGGGTTGTCCTGTAAGTAAGGTTACACTCCTTGCCACACACGCCTCAGTACGCCTTCAGCTGCGAGTAGATGCATGTAATTCATACGAGCTATCACCAGACACACACACACACCCCCACAGGATACACAGGATCCTGTAACCGGTTTTGCGTTTATTTTTATATGCGACACTATGATGCAATTTTCTCGCTTCCGCTTCTGCCTTTTCCAAAGCGTTTTTCCCTTTTTTTTTTTTGCATTGCTTTTACCGACTGCTGAATGCTGATGCTGTGAAAATTGCTGAGGATATGTAGCCCTTAAACTCCTTTATATGTATATGCATGTAGGGCGGAATATTGTGTGTAGTTTAGTGGGGAAAATGGACAGAAAATGCCATTGAGGGGCATGTTATTAAATAGTTTAATATGTGGGATTAGAGGTCACTAAATGGTGGCCAAATATGCAAAGGAATGTGTGGCTGGAATTTCAATTTCATTTTACAAAAATATAAAAATATTTCTTTTCTCTTCTAGGTAGCTTGGATGCACTTTGAGCAGAGTGCAATCCTTACCGTTCACAATCACGTGATCACTAGAAATCCACGCATCAGTGTCACGCACGACAAGCACGACAGGCATCGCACGTGGTACCTGCACATCAACAATGTCCACGAGGAGGACAAAGGGCGCTACATGTGCCAGATCAATACGGTGACGGCCAAAACGCAGTTTGGCTACCTCAATGTTGTGGGTAAGTGGGAGCAAAACTTATGCGAGAATCTAATCAGCGAAGAGAGTCCCTTCCCAGGGGGGCCAGTGCTGGGGCCGCGTTCTGGCCAAAGGGCAAGTGAAAATCGCACCGGAAAATCCTGTGCAAATACGCGGTGAATTAAAAAATAATTTATGTGCCTTTAAGCACAGGGAAAAAAACAGAACACAGAAAACAAAATCGAAAACAGGAGAAAGCCAAACGAGAGAGTCCAGAGTCCAGTGGGCAGAGCCCAGAGCACAGAGCACAGAACGAGACCTGAGACCCGAGAGCACGGGGCAGGCACCCGAAAATGTGGAGCACAGTTCAGTGAATCCTGTGAATCCTGTGAGTCCAGAATCCTTTGCACAGGCGAAATTATTTTCCCTGCCTTTCGCAAACAACAAACAAATTATTAAAAATGCATGCGATATTTGTGGAAGGGAAATGCGCGAATGCGCGCAGGCTTTTAATTAAAAAAAAAAAAATGTACACAAAAAACAAAGGCGAAATTATATGGCAGGCAATAAGAGAAATTAAGAAAAACTTGCAAAAGAAAACCAGGAAATTTTCCACTAAATAAAAATAGCCTTGCAAAATAAAATATTTCCTTAAAATGTTTTGCTAATGAAATTTGCAATTAAATTGATGGCTGAATGCGGATGATTTCTCTGACTAATTGTGTTAGCACCTAGCCTAAAAAAGAACGACTATAGAAATATACCAAAATAAAAGCAAACAGAAAAGCCGAAGCTGTGGATACCTTTTAAAAAAGTTATAGTAGTAAAAAGACAGACCAACTAGAGCATAAAAATAAAGTGTATCAAAAGCAGAATTAAATTTATAATTTTTCCAACACATTGCTCTGCTAATTTAAGCTTCTATTCCAATCATTATAACGAGAAAAATGTTTTTGGGGCTTAATTTTAAAAACCATTTACTGTGTAAAAATTCCACAAAAAATATTGTTCCACAAAACGCAAATATTTATCAATATTAGGCAAAGTTAAATATTAAATACTATTAAATATTAAAAGTAACAAACATCTCTATCTCTCTTTGCAGTTCCCCCCAACATTGATGATTCGCTGAGCTCCAGCGATGTAATTGTCCGCGAGGGCGCCAACATTTCGCTGAGGTGTCGGGCGAGTGGTAGCCCGAGACCCATTATCAAATGGAAACGGGATGATAACTCCCGCATAGCCATCAATAAGAATCACATAGGTAAGTGCAAACTGTCCACAACATGGAGGGGTGGCAAATGGGAAAGAGAACTGGGAGGGGGAGGGGGATGCACTGCATCAATCATTTAACACTGTCCTCACTTTTTCTCTCTCTCGCTCTCGCTCTATCTCTCTTCAGTCAACGAATGGGAGGGCGATACATTGGAGATAACTCGCATCTCCCGATTGGATATGGGCGCCTACCTGTGCATCGCCTCGAATGGCGTGCCCCCAACGGTTTCCAAGCGCATCAAAGTCAGTGTCGACTGTAAGTATTCTTCTTTAATGGAGCTTCCTTGTCACGGCCAAATGATAAAGCGACTGTCCCTAGTAATCTCTGTCATATTTCCACACCACCCACAAATCCTTTGGTTTACCATTCGATCGATGGAATGTAGCACCTAGTCTCTGAAAGTTGTCTAACTATAAACTTGGGTTATATTTCATTATTTTTTAGATGTTCTTTTCATTTTCCATCCAATTTTCAATTTATTTTCCTGGCCAAAAGACTTGTTTAGCTGTTAAAATTCGTTTCGTTTATTTTTGTTGTCTGTTGCAACTCATATTTCCATTTGACGGATCAGCGGATTAAAGTTGAGAATCAGGGGAAAGGTTTTCCGCGTTACAGTGGAACAAAGTGGTAGAAAAGTTTGGTAAAACTTGAACGAGAAACTGTGGGATATTCTGATATCAAAAGGAAAAAGGGAATTGCATTCCAAGAGTATCTTTCTGCTCCGTTTTCTATGATTTTTTATGACTTTCTTTGAGTCTACCAAAATCTCCACTGTGCCGCATTTTTTCTATACTTGTTTGCTATATGAAACACACACTTGTAGCTCTATTTGAGGCTTAAGCCCGCAGCACACAAAACGACAACGAGAACGAGTAACAGCTGCAGAAGGCAAGAAAAAACAAGAAAAAAAAACTACATGAAATGATGGAATCAAATCACCGCGTTCGTTGGCTGTTGTGCAGTTTTTTAAGATTTATTACAGGCAACAGACAGCCACATCACATGTGTTGTCAAGTTCCTGTCATGCCGCGCCCCGACATGGATGCAAGGCGGATGCAGTGGGGGCACCAACCATGTCCCAGTCGTCACAGAAATTTCCTCGTTTGCTGTCACTTAAAAATGCCGCAAGCATAAATCTATTTTTCTGTGTGTGTTTTCGCTACTGACATTCCAACGGGTAAAATCTCCTCCACAAAGGGGGTGGGGGGGGGAGAGAGAGTCCTCGTTTCTCTCCACACAAAAAATTCAATACAAATTACACGTGTGTGCACAGCAGCGCCACAGCAGCGGTCAGTGGCAAGCCCACACACAAAAAACCAATAGAAGAAAAGTCGAAAATACCTTGATTGCAGGCAAAAGAAAATGGAGGGAAAAGAGTTGGTGGAATGAAAGGCTTCTTTAAAGTAGAAACTTGATAGAAATCATAGAAATTATTAGAATAAGAGCAAATCCTCTCGAAAAGAGAGAAAACAAAGAAAAACTTAAGGCTTTTCTTAGTGTTCGTAATTCCCTTTCCCATACCTTTTTTTGGTCTCCCTTGAAAGCCTTTTATTATTTTCTCTAGACAATTGTCCTCCAAGGATAGACACCATCTCCTGCCATTATCCTGCCGTCCGCTCCTGTCCGGCAATCAAGTCAATGCCATCGTCATTTCCCATTTACACAAAACTCTCACACTAATTCCACAAATATTGTCCCTCCATGGCATTGTGCCCCAATCAATGGCCCACGCCGATCCCCCGCTGCCACTGCCACCTGCAACAGTAAAAAAAGCAGGTAATCATCCCTGCAAATCTCTCCGTTGATTCCCGAACCCCTTAACGAGGCTTCATTAACGGCTAATTTTCAAGTTGTTTACACTCGACAGTTCACCTCTTTTTTTTTTCTTCTGCTGTGCAGCTTTTCCGCAGAGTTTTTTCTCAGTAATTTTCTATAGAGAAAAAATGTCACTCAGTGTCCAGTGTCCAGGGCACCTTCTCCCATCGGTTGAAGGAGGGACTAAATTATTGTTGACTCAAGTCCTTGTCGGACGGCCGCCCACCCGTCGACTTTGGTTCTGTGGCACTTAGCAGCTGCTTGGCGAGCGTCCTTTCTTTCCGCTCCTTTCTCCAGAGCTGGTACTCTCTCCTCTCCTCCGCTTTTCACCAATATTGTCGCCACTCAATTGTAATTTAAATCAGTGCCCGGAAACGTAACGAAACGAAAGAAAAGTCAACCAAAGGAGTCAGAGTCGGAGTCGTAGCCGGCGAGTGGTAAAGAAGCTGTTATCCCGGGACAAATGTTTGTCCTGCCAGAGGGGAAAAACCACTTGGGCAGGCGGCGCTCCTTCCAAGGGGACTCTCCTTTTGTAAGGGCAATTAAAATGAATGGAATCTGAGGGAAAATAAGGAAAACGACGACAAGAGAACTTCAAGGTGATTTCTACCACTTGAGCTCTCGCTTAAGCTCCCTCTCTCTCTCTCTCGCTCTCTGCTTTCGCTCTGCAAAAGTCATAGCCGGAGGATGGGGGGTGGAACAGAAATCAACAGAAATTATATCAATATAAAATATCTCTGCATTGCATACGAAATTACAATACTCTGAGACAGGTACCCTGTATTTATAATGGCAGGGGGTATAATATATTCTTCGAGAGGTTTGTGACAGTCAAAATAATTTCACAGCTCCAAAAAGTAGATTTTGAAGAAACAAAAATATTATTGAGTGCATGGAAAAATTTACAAATGACTTTCCCTGGCAATACTTGAATTTGCACTCCTTTCAAATTATTCTTTAGAAATTTCTTTAAGTACGGGGTACCTTTATTGGTCGCAATGTCAACCCTAAGATCCCCATATTTCTTGCTCTTTTTCTCATACATTCCGTTTGCCGTTGCAGGACGATTCTCTGGTACAAGTGGCGCCAGGTTAAGGGTCGTTTGTAGCACATGTTGCCTTTGCCTTTGCCTTTTTTTTTGCCTTGATTTTCTTGAGGGAACTTTTCTCTGTGTTTCTGTGTTGTGCCATTCGGTTGCACAAAGAGGCAACAAATCAGTATGCAGTCAGAAATACGAGGATATATGTATATATAGAAAGGAAGCAAGAAACAAAACTACGGAAACAGAAACTGAATTTGTTGCTTCCTGCTTGTTAAGCAACGCACGCCACAAAAATAAAACGTAAACGTATGCGTCTACAACGCTGTGTGTGTGTTTGTGTGTTTCCAGGACACTAAAGGACATCGTATGCAAGCTGTCACACAGAAGTTGTTTTAACAAATTGTTGGGGGTAAATCTGTTTCCAAAAGGCACAAAATATTATCCTCAAAGAAACAGCCAATCAAAATATCATCGTAGCACAAAAGTTTGCGGTTTTCCCACTCCTTTTTCCGGCTCCCACACTTGGCAGTGGACAGTTGACCCAAACCCATTGACAACTTAATTAAGCTGCTCATTTCATCACACTTAAGCTGTATTTTTATTAAAAGGATTATGCCCCACAACCCCTAAGGAAGGGCGTGGGCTCATGCCTCATCAAAAATATGTACAAAAGAGGTGGCCGAGCCTCCTACCGGCAGATACTTTTCAGAGCAGAACAAAAAAAAAAACAGAACCTGCAGCAAACTGACGCTAATTTGTGTCCAAAAGCTGATTAAAAATTCAATTGGTGGTACAAACAGAAGGTCTGCTGCCGCCTCCACTCACACCTTTTTATGCCACAATTTTTTTGTGTTAGCCTTCAGCTTAATTGCCATCTCGTGGTGGACATAAATCCACAAAAGGTAAAAGCTGCCGCTGCTGCTGCTGCAGAGGCACAAAAAAATACGAGAGAGCGAACAGGCGAAAGGACCCCCATTGTGGCACTTAATGATGATGAAGATTCCTCTGATGCTGCCACCGCCTCCTTCGTACGAACACTGACAATAATTCTGAAAGAAAAACCGTAATGCTCGAGTGTTCATTAGTCCCCACTTTTCGTGACATTTTCCCCAAGGTTTTTTTTTCACCATTTTTTTCCCATTTAATATCTTAATTAAAAATGTGCGCCGAATGCGCGAGAAGTGTGGTTTTTCGTCTGCTCAAAACCAAAGGTTGCATTTCTATAGATACAAGCATACAAAAGGTGCAGGCAGGGCAGAATGAGTATCAGCAAGATAAGAAATCTTCATATTCGCATTCCGAATAATGCTATTCATGGGATAGTTTTTATTCCCAAGAACTTTCTCGCTCGCTCTCTCTTTCTCTTTGCTGAGAGACTTTTTCTTGCAATTTAAATGAAAATCAGAAAGAAAAAAATCGTCTGAAATTTGAATAAAAATCAAAAGGAAAAAAACACTAAAAAAACATTAGTGTAAAATTCTAGATATATCTTGTGCTATGACGAAATATATGCAATGGTAAATATGAAAAAATGTCAGGGAAAATCAAAAGAAAAACTTTGAGAAGCTAGCAAATTAATTAAGAGATTAACTTGACCACAAGTTTGGGTTCGTAACTAAAAGGATAATTTCTATAGATTTATTTCTGTTCATTATATTCCTGATAATGCATTTTCTTTTCTATTTGTTTTCCTTCTCTGTAGTCCCCCCAATGCTGCTTATTCCCCATCAATTGGTTGGCGCACCAGAAGGTTTCAACGTCACCATCGAATGTTTTACGGAGGCGCATCCCACATCTCTTAATTATTGGACACGCGGCGAGGGACCAATCATACACGATTCGCTCAAGTACAAGTGAGTTCCAAAAAGCAGGAAAAATGTACACACAAAAAGTCTTCTAAAGTATATTTAAACGGGAGCTTAAGCAGAGATTAAATCAGAGATTACTGATTGAGAAATGTCAAAGGAAGAATTTCCAAATATTGAACGATCCCAGACGATCTTTAGAGGCTTTCTTCAATTCCTGAGATGGTTCTCTCATACATATAATTTTTAAACCCTTTATTGTTCCATTTTCAGAGTTGAATCAAGCGTGGGCGTGCCTGCCTACAAGACCCACATGAAGCTAACGATCATAAATGTAAGCAGCGGCGATGATGGCATCTACAAATGCGTGGCCAAGAATCCCAGAGGAGAAACAGATGGCATTATCCGATTGTATGGTAAGTAAAAGAGAGGGAGAGACGAGAGAACTGCAAAAGGCAATTAGGAATCGGCATAAGGAGAATGTTTGCTGACAAAAGTTGCACGCAAATGCATTTTTAATGGAAGAAAAACACACACACAAAAACTAGCAGAAAATCTTGAGATAATGGTGGAGCATTTGCAGGGGAAGAGTGCCTGCCATTTGAGTGCCTGAAATTCTCTACTTAAAGTTCTACACTTTCGTCAGTATTAAGTTCACATCCCAACTAATTAAGTTCTCAATGTCCTCCCAGTCCTCGTGGAGCTCTGTGAGGCATTGAAAAACTACCGCCGCATTGGCCTTAACACAAATTGACAAATCTAAGCCATTTAGACCCCCGAAAACAAAGGCCAAATGAAAGACGCAGAAAAAAGGAAAAGAATGAAAGAAGGAAGGAAAGAAATCTCGAACGATAGTCCGAGAAGGTCCGTCCGTGACTTAATTGCCTCACCACGAATTGCCATCAAGGCATCCCAGACATGCCACATGGCACATGGGCACATGGCTACCCTACCCCTCCTGCGGCATGGAATCGCAATTGACTTGAATGAACCTGCCCCAGAGGGAGAGCGGTGGGGGTTGCCTTCTCGCTGCCTTCTCGCTGCCTCCTCGTTGAGCAGCGCCATAATCAAGCCAGTGAAAAATCAAGTCACGTCCTTTGGTCCGAAGGTGTGGAATTTTTTCGGCCAGGCTGTTCCTCTGGTTCTTGGGTTTAGCCTCGAAAGGATAAGAAGGAGTCCCCCACCCCACCCCCCTACACATGAGGCAACTTTAAACTGCATATATGTGTGTATGTATGTGTGTATACGTTGCAAGTGCGGCGCCAGCCTCAAGTTGCAAGTTAATATCACGTCTTTACGTTTAATTACGTGATGGATTCGTTCGTTCGAAGCTCAACAAATTTAAACTTATCGATTGTGGATTTTCGACGGGAAATCAAAGTAGAAGCCACCCAAGGATATGGAACTTTAAGATAACATTTGTGTGAGATAAACAGATGAGATAAATTGTGGGCGAAAACAAAGCAAAAAATTCAGAGAGTAAAAAATATGCAAACTTGCAGCCTGAATCTATAGAAAATTACGATTTCCCTTTTTCCTATGGATTTTCTTTCACATTTAAAAAAAAAGCCATCAAAGCCGCTTAGAAAAGTCACCTATTAGGTCAGTGAGAGCCTTTCTTCCCCCGCCCCATCTGACATTTGACATATTTTCATTAATTTTGAATTTTGGCAATATCCTCCCCGGCAAAACGATTTTGCATATGGAAACAGTTTTTGGTAATTTAGTGGAAAGTGCAGCTGTGATTTCGCATTTGGAATTATAATTGCAACAAATTGAAATGTGAAAGGCAACGATACAGACGAAGGGAGGGCACTTTTTCCGAGTGAAGAGTCATTTTGCTGGGGTGGATAAAAATATACTGTCGCGTACATAAATATGTATGTATTTTACACATTATTATGGAAATGGAAATACGAAATACGGCAAATAATTATCATTTTGCATAATCCAATGGAGCGTATGAAATGCAAAAATCAAAAGAGACAAAACAATAAAAGCAGACAGCAACCAAAAAAAAAAAAACAGCAGAGTGAATACAGTTTTTAAATAAATAAAAAAGACACAAAAACGAGACACAAATAAAATTTTAAATAAATAAAAAAAAAACCCCAAATAAACTTGAAATAAATAAAAAAGGAGAACAACAAATGGCATGCATGAAACGTGGTGAAAATTCCAAATTGAAAAATGTAAATTTTATGAAAACAAGTCTAATTTTTTTTTTTTGCCACAAAAATAGAATATCAGTCGATTGGGATCTATGCCGATATATCTTTGTTTATTGTTGATGCGAGGAAATGTAAAGTAAATGAACGATTGATTGATGGAAAGCCAATGAATGAAATGAAAGGCAGATTGTTGAAGGATATTTCACACACAAAATAAAAATATAATAAAGAAAGAAAACAATTGGGATTTACTAACATGATTTTTAACAGAATTTCCTGATCAATGCTCTACTTTCACCGTGTTCTCCGTTTCATTTCCAGTAATTAATAAACACTAAAAATAATAGAGAAAATAATCGAAAATGTAAATAATATATTCCTACTTTCATCTACTTAAAATCCCCACCTTTTCCCCTTTTTATTTTCCAGTCTCCTATCCCCCAACGACAGTGTCATCGGGTACAACCGATTCGCATTGGGAGCGGGAAAATGGCATCAATGGCAACAATTACGCCTATGGGGGTTCGGATAGCCAACGCTCCATTTATGGACAAGATAAAAGTAAGTATTATATCATCTATTGATCAGCTAAAGAGACCCCCGGAAAGAGCCCCATCATATCATGCTATCCTTTGGCTTGTTCTTTGTGTGATTTCTATTTCATTCCATGTTCCACCGCCAACACCACCATCCATCATTCAGATACGAGATATCAATCGAATTTGAATGAAATCGGTTTATCTGAACAAAAATCCTTCCTAGATAAGACCCAAAATCCATTGGCGGCCAATGGAAATGGCAATACAAACGATCCAGAGGATGCAGAGGCCAACAGGGGAGCAAATCCCTCCAAGGCCATTGCGTGGATGCTCCTCCTCCCAATAACAATCCTGTTAACAATACGCCAATCTGCGGTTGGTTCTGGTAGCTCTACTGTAAGTGTAAGTCTATGAGCTATGGTATGGGACTAGATCTAAGGCTTCAACGTAATGTTAGCATATAAACCAAAAAAAATACTATATTTAATCGCATAGAACCACTAGTGGAACCGAGACCCTAATTACGATCCGCCCTTCCCCCATATATATGAGACACACATCCAGGCCGCCTCAACAGTCAGAAGGAGAGAAAGAGAGAGCTTGTTATATGCATATGTATATCCATCAAATCACATTCTACATAAATATATATTTACTCTATATATAAATCTATGTATAGGAACAACCAAAACGAAAATAATGAAAGAAAAAAAAACGAAAGGGTAAATAAATGCAATTTCATTTTGCTTTCAATGCTGTGCTTCAAAACTGAGAAATCGTTTCACATGATTATCGGATCGTATAATGTATCTATTACATCATCTATCTATCCATATATATTTGTGCGTTCAACGCTGATCAATACACAAGAACAAACACTCATGAATATATACATACATACAACAGATATATAACTTATGCCTTAAGGATTGCAAATGAAATATATATACATAGATTTATAGACCCACACACACATATCGAGCATAGAATATGTTTAAGTATTAAATGCAGAATAGTTTATTTAGATATATTTTGTAGTTTAAAGGCGCAAAGATTTTTGGGAATTATTTTTAAAGTTGAAATTTGAATGGGAGAAAGCTTTGGAATAGAATACCAAACAAAAATAAAAAATTACCCGAAAATAGCAGAAAAACACCAAACAATTTTTTTTTAAGAATTTGTTTAGAGTCCCCAGCAACTATAAGAAAAGTATAAAGCTAAAAATAAAGTTGCAATAATTTCGAGACTTCCCAACAACCCTGAACATTTCCATAATTTTTTTTTAAGTTCTACATGAAATAGTATTTGGAATTAAGGGATCTTTAAGCTTGCTAAATTAGCTGCCTTTCAGATTCAGATTGTTTTTCTACAACAGAGACACCCACACCCTTCCAGTCTTCTTCCAGTCAGAAGTCAGAATTAATGTCTGTTCCATCATCCAACAAACAGAAAAATACAATAATTTAAGTAGCTTGTAAGTAAAGGCTTAATATGTAATGTAAAGATTAAACCAGATGTTAAACATATAAGCTAAAAATGTAATAACAAACGAATACTAATGTGTTGCTTTATAACTACATTAAAAAATTAACAAACAATGAAATGAAACAATGTTGAATAATGAGAAAATATATTTGGAATCGAATGATTACAGTCACACACACACACACACACTTACAGAAGAGAATACACAGTACATATAATCGTATATATATATAGCATCATATATACAGCCCCTGGCCACCCCCCTACACTTACGTACATATGTAACATGTATTTAAGCATATAAAATGAGTTGTAACTGAGGCATTAAATTAAATAAAAATCCCAAAAAAGACACACAAATAAAGCGAATAGTACTACAGCCGGTGGGCGGATAAAGAAGGTTGGGGTTTGGGTAAGTAATGGAAATGGTATGCACAGAGTATGCACAGGATTCCGTAAAAATGATGTGTTAAATGCTTAATTAGCAACCAAATTAAACAACGCCCCGGTGCAAACAATCGGCCAAACATTAATATTAACAATTAAACAACAAAAAAAAAAAAGCGAAACTCGGCAAAACATTAATAAACAATTAACCTGCTTCCAGAGGCAATTTTTTTGTTGTATTTTGCTGCCATTCGTAAAGAGAAAAGATATCATGATTTTCAGATAAGGTTTGCAACACTCTAAAAAATTCCAGAAAAAAACTGAAAATACATGCGTTATTTCTTATATGTTCCAAATGTTATCAATCGGGTCAAAAAGGCACTGAAAAAAATTACCAAAAATATATTGGTTCATTCCAGATACCAAAGATTATCTATGGGGATCTACAGGGTATTCCAAGTGTCGACTCCCACTGTGTGTGGCGACAGATATCTAGCAAGTGGCTACTACTGACTGCACGCCCGACCGCATTTTATTCGTTATGCAATTTTATTTTATTCATTTTATATAGGCCCGTCCAGTAGCAGACAGCAACACCAATAACAACCATTAAAAACCAAGTAAAAAATTGCATAAAAATTGCCATATTCAATTTAATTATTATGTGGATGTCGGAGAAGGGCGTGTGAATGGGGCTTTAGGGGGGGGGGATTGTCACTTGATTTTCAATGACACAAACAGAAACGCAACAAAACTTTGGTCTGTTGCATTTTTCATTATGCTTTTTAATCAAACAATTGCAAAAAGGCCACAACACTGGGACACTGGCACACGGCTACTTGGACAGTGTTGCCATGGTTAATGACGCATCATCCCCATGCCATCCGCACAGGAAGTCGAGGACGATCAGTCGAGGATAATGGCGTAGGCATTGAGGGGGGCTTATGTTTGTCTCCTCTGAATGCGATTATATGACCGGAAAATTATATGAACGAAGGCAACATAAGCGGTAGATTCGAGCGAAAAACATAAAGGGTTTCTTAATCAAAAACTCTCTTGGTTTATGAATACACTGCCAAAAATATTACATCTATATTTACAGAGATTATCGGATTTATAGATAAATTATTTGCATTATGATTTCAATAGAGAAATTTCCTCTCATCATGCTCTTGCTTTCTCCCCTTAAAGCCCTCTATCAAAATTTAATCAAGCCACCGAAAAAAAAATGGGTGCCATGGCTCAATCAAAGTTGCATTTGTGATGCTACTACAAGAATAAATGCCCCATAATGCAGCACTCAGCTGTGGCATGACTCCAAGAGAGTAGAAGGAGAGATGAAGAGGAGCCGAGGTCGCAAGAAGCCAGAAGTGAATGCGGAAATTGAATTGAAAGACACTACCAGAGGAAAAGCAACAACAACAAGGATATTAAGAGAAGTTTTCATGGCAAAGTTGGTGGGGTGGGGGAACGGGGAACGGAGAACGGGGTAAGGCCAAAATACTTGATGAGGAAACAAGGAATGAATGAAATGAAAATGAAAGAAACCAGAACGGAAACGTAACAAAAACGGAAATCAGCTTGAAATCGCGACACAGCGACACAAGATGTCAATTTCATTACTACAGAAAAAAGGACACTAGGAAAATGGAGAAAAAAAAACTGGGGGACTCATCTGCATAAAAGGGAAATTATTTTTGCTATTTTTTTTTTTTTACTTGTGCGGAAAAACTGCAATCTGCTTGGACGAAAGTTTCCGCCAGCCAAAAGAAAAAAAAAAACGAAAGAAAAATGAAGCAAAAGAAGGATAAATAAATCCTCGGGAAAAACTGCTGAAATGAAGTATTCAAAACAATTTCCGCAATGCACACAGGGAAAGCCAGGGAAAACTAGCAAGGAAAATGTCACCAAATTTATGTAAAGTTAACAAAAAGTCAAGCACATAAAATGCTAAAGAAAATGCTACGAAAAAAAATATGAAAAGAGTCCCACGGAAATAGTTGGAGAAGTAAATTAAGCCCCCAAAGTAAATGGCATTCCGTTGAAAATATTTGGGAAATGCTCGAAGGAAAACATTAGGAAAATCCTGCCCATCCCATGATTAACCCATTGAGGTCGCCGCGGGCTCTCTTTATGCGATGCCTTCCCATTGTTGTGGGAAAAGTTTTGGAGAGGAAAACCCTCGGAATCTGCCACAAAATGGATGCAGCTGCTGCACCGCTCGCATTCTTTTAGGCTTTTCTTACAAAAGAGTGCATGCCTCCATGCAGCAGCGAGGTATGCCCCATTTTGGGGCACATAATAAGTGAGGTACACACACATATGTGAGTGTGCGTGTGAGTGTGTACACGAGGAAAAGTTTTTTGCGATGGAACATACTTTTTATCAGAGATCCAAGGAAAAGGAAAGGGGCAGCGAGGAGTTTATTAAAGGAGGAAGCGCACAAAAGAAGGTCCTGCAGCAGAGAGAGAGTGAGAGAGAGGGGAAGGGACAGGGACAGGGAAGCGTAGGGCTGGAAAAGTTGTAAGTGCATTTCCCGCACATAAATGGAAAATTGTTCAATTTATTGGCAAGCAACAAAAGCAAACACAAAGGAAAAGGATGGGAATGGAAAGCGAATCGAAGGAATAACTTTATGAAAATTGAAAGAAAGATAAATATTTCCATGTTTTGTGGTCAACTTGTGGGTTAATCTTAACCCCACATTGACTCTTATTCTTCCCCTCTTGGACACAGTCCTCTTACCCCCTCCGACCATCCAGTAATTGCCACAAATGAGGCCTATGAAATTTGATTTGATTTCCATCGTTTAAGCCACAAAAGAAAAAGAGGAGGAAAACCCCGTCAGATGGGGGAATGGAATGGAATCGCAGGACAACACTTAAGAGGGGGATGGATTATGCAGGGATAAGGGTATGAAGGGTATGAAGGGTATGGAGAGGCAGGAGCCGGTGAAGTGAGCATTCGAGAAGAGTCGAGGAGTCGATTGTCCAAATGACATCAATAAAATATTTAAACCCCACAACAAAGCACGCCCCCTGCCCCACACCCCCTCCCGCAAGACACTGGTGGAAGGAAAGAAAGCTGAGAGAACTCCACTTGAGTGGCGCCGCGCGGCAAACGTGGATAAAACAGGATAAACACGAAGGAAGGAACGAACCAAGGAAGGAGGATGTTCCACGATGATTCGGATGAGGATTGGGGCTACGATGTGGATGTGGACTCGAGGATGGAAGGTGGCAGGAAGGAAGGAGACTTCAGCTTGAAGCAGCAGCCAAAACGAAGATGATGCTCCTTCCAGGGGGAAGGATGATGCGCATCCGCCATGTCCTCGTGTCTCGGTTTCATCTTGACTTTGAAGTGGATTCATCGACGGAATTTGAATTCAATCGCAGGAATCGCTAACCGATTCCCTCCCCCTCCACCTTCCGTTCCTCTTTCGCTATACCACCCACAGCAGTGGGGTTTTTATTGCGGCTTCCCATTCTCCCCTTTCGCACCCTCTCTTGGAATCATTTGTGGCCTCCTGCAAGCGGCTTAGACTCTTGTTAGCAACGTCTTTCATGCTGTTTACGTCGCTTCAACCCTCCCCCTGGAGCAGACGGAGTAGACGGTGGGGGGGGCAGACATAAGTTTGTTTTTCCATTGCGTTGATCCGCTCATGGAATCGGGCAATGGGCAATCAGAAGGGGAGTTGAGTGGGAGGGCTCCTCATAGATGGGATCCCAATGATAGGAACAGCAATTGCCGGATGGGAAATCAGAGACAAAATGGACAATCGGTGGGGCAGGAGGATGGGGAGGGGAGACACGGGAGTGGAGGATGCCACTTAAAGAATTCCAGGGGAAGCGGGCCATGGTTTCCATTTCTCATAATTTCTCTTGCATTTCCATCGCTTTTCCATGTTTCGGCCAGCCTTTTCCTTGAGGGAAATTTACATATTTTAATCAGAATCAGAATCAGAATCGGAGAATTTCCCAGTCGATTTCCCAGCGGCAATCATCAATTTCTCAATTTCTGTTCCGCTTTATATTTGGAGGAGAGATTCCATCTTTCGATTCTCTCGTTTCATCTTTCGTTTCGATGACCAGCCTCCCTCCTCCCTCCTACTGCTGCTGCAACATTCTGTGGCATTCTCTGAACTTTAGGCCTCGAAGGAAAGTGCTTTAAAATGGTTCTAATCCGCGATGTCAAGGCCTTTCCTGGCTGTCAAGTGTCCGCCAAAGCTTAGGCGCGGTGTCTGCCTTGCGGGAAAATGATAAATGGCTCTAGGGTGCAATATTTTGTTTTTCTATTAAAGTGTTTTTCTATTAAAAGGACTCTCCCCTCTCCCTGCTGTGGGGCAGAGAGTCAATAAAATATCAAATTACATTTTAATGAGTGGCCTCCCACCATACTGTGACCCTGGGAAATCATTGGGAAAGTTAAGTGTTTTACAGGCATTTTCCGTGTGTATTTATGTTAAATTTTCATCGAAGGACAGCACGATGGGAACCGAAACAGGAACAGGAAATATGCCACAAATTTAATAGAATTATGGGAGCGGGAAAGCGGACTTTAAAGCGTGGCAAACCAGTAGGGAAATGCCCCCAAGGAAGGTTCAACTCTCGAGCAAAACCAATAATCTGCCTGAGCAAACTTTCTTTGCAGCTGAATTTTTCAAAGAGTGACAGAGCGAGAGAGAGAGTGGAGAGAGGAGAGAGGGGAGGTAAGGAAACCCTGAAAATGCAATTGGGACATAAATTTCCATTTCCCGGTTTTATGCCCTCGAGGATTCACAGTAATTTAACGCTAAGTTTTCCCCGCTCCTGCCACGTCTCTGCCAGGGTTTTTCCTGCGAGGAAAACTCTCCTTTTGGGCTGGGCGGTAGCCACAATAAAATAGTAAACATGAAAAACGAAAGAAAAGTCGCGCAGCAAAAAATGAGAGAAAAGCAAAAGAATTTCTGTGTGCTAAGTGTCCTTCGTCCTTCGTCTGGCGGTGGTCTCCGCCGATGACCGCCTGGCGTAAAAAGTTTTCCCTTTCCCCCGTTTTCCCCCTTTTTTTTTTGCTGGAAGGAGGATCTTCAATTTACGCTGCTGTGAGTGGTTTTTCTTTTGTTTTCCTATTTTCCTATTTATCTTTTTTTTGGCCTCGTTACGGTACATCCCCGCTTGCCCCCTTCTGTTGCGGCCTTAGCCCTTAGTTGCCTTTTCGCTTAGTTTTTCCTCTAGTTTTCCCACTGTTTTTTTGGCGGCAATTTAATGTCATCCATAAATACAAATTCAAATGCTGAAAGCTTCTGCTGCTGCCCGCCTCTGCCTCTGGATGTTCTTGAACTTCATTTTCCATTTGGATTCCTTGTGGTTTTTCCTTGTGGCTTTCGCCTCGTCTGACTTTAATCCTTTTTGTTGTGCTTTTGTGCTGCTGCAATTCTATTAGCATCCCGGCAGCATCCTGTGGCTGGCCCCTCAATTGCCTATAAATTCCAGCTGTTATCAGGCGCGTACCCCTGCCACTTATTCATGCCACACATTCTGGGGCAGCAGCTGCTCGCTTTCGTAGCCCCTTCGAAGGCTCCTCTCTTCTGCGGGAGTACATTATTTAGCAGTTTCTCTGCTTTTTCTCTCCTTAACAGAACATAAAACTATCAAAAAGAGAGAGAGAGAGAGAGTGTGGCGGAGCAGACGCAGGGGCAGCAACAGCAGCAGGAGAGTCGAACAGGGGAGTACCCTGTACAGTGCACAAGACAAGGAAAGGGAAAATGGGAGCACATTTTGTAGGAAGAAATTATTTTACAGGGTATCTTCTAGGTCCCCATCACTTCTTTGTCCCATTCATAAGGCCCATTTCGGTGGCGGCGTGTCCTTGCACTTGAAGCAACACTCGTTTGCCTGCTTGCAACAAATGCAATCAACTGTACAAAAAATACAGCAATGTGGCACGTTCCTCCACAAGCGGAGGAGTCAGAAGAGGGGGCGGCATGTATACCCTCTTCCTTTACCTCTCCCCCTCTCTGGGGAAGGCGCTACAAGTGCCCTCGCGTTTTGTTTTACCGTTGAGTGCAAATTATTTATGCCACATGGGGGAATACGAGTACTCGTACTTGGGGAGGCGCCACATCCCACTTGCAGCACGGGAAGCAACTTGCACCTGGCGGCAGCGGGCAATGCAATCAAAGCGAGCGGAAAGCGGGTAGCGGGTAGGCGGGGGCTGGTGTGGAGGGGCAGCAAATAACAAAAGCCACAATGCCACATTGCCACTTTCTACTTTCACTCCAAGTGCAATTCGGTGACTCTTTCGCTCTCTCTCTCTCTCTATCTCCCTCGCTCTCTCTCTCTTGTTCAAACCCCACCTCTTGTCTATCGTTTGGCCCGGAAGTTGAAGTCTTTTGTTTTCATTTCCGTTATTTAATGCAAGTGGCAGCCACAACCACAGAGAACAGCCAGAGGAGAGCAGCCCTTGCCGCGTGACGCCTTCTTCTGGTTGTTTTTTTTTTCTGGCTGCCACAGCTGCCTGCCTGCCTGCCTCGACTAACATAATATATGAGACTCCCCCTAACCCAGTTTTCCACCCCATTTTTCCCACATTTTCATCTGCTTGAAAGTTGCGGGTGGGTGGAAGGTTCGGCGCGCACCTTTCAACAACTTTTAAGCGCGACTGCAGAACTTGTTGGCACCTACTTCTGGCTTCCCCTCTCCCGCTCTGGGGGAAGCACTTTTCCGAGGCAAAAGAATTTGCATTTTCCTCACCCTCCCTCTAGCTCAGTCTCTCTCCCACTCTCTCCTCTGTGGCTGGTGTGTTTGTTTTGTTGGCTTTTTGACTGCATTTTGAAAAATGTTTGCATTTTACCTGCGAGAGAACTTTTGCTCCTCCTCTTCTCACACCTTGCGCCCCTTTCTCTTGCTCTCTACTCGGGCGCTTTCCTTTCTCCTAAACGAAGTTAACCAGATTTTCATGTGCAGATAATGATTTTCGCTTTATTTGCATGCAATTTTTCTTCTTAGTTTTTTTTTTTTTTCGTGGTTTAACGATTTTCTAGTTTGGTTTTTTTTCTGTTAGAACTTCTCTTCTGGGCAGAGCAAAAGGACTTCTATTTTTAGTGGCTGCTGGGAATTTATAGCACACTTTTGTGCGCTCAACAAATGAACTTTTCCCCGAAGAGGATTCTTTTCGCATAAAGCAAAAGAAAGTTTAAGGGCAAGAAAAGGAGTTCCTTTTTCGCCGTAAAGGAAATATTTAGAATATTCTTTTTGGGAGTACGAAATGTAATCTTTAAATATCAATGAATGGTAGAGTGAGACAATAAATGATAATGGAATGAATAATAAATGAGTGGGTAATGAGTGTAGGAATGGTAATGGAAATATTTAATGGTTATTCAATATACACCGGGAGGGAGCTCTTATTTCGCAGATTTTCATTATTATTGTTTGGAATATTTTAGAATATAATATAACGAGATAATTACCTTTCTCCCCATTTCTTTTATAAGTTTCATCTGCTTAAACTTTGCTTTTTAGACTTTCGATCCATGGATAGATATCTTTCAGCATATTCTTTCTCTGAAATCGAAATAAGGGGGAAGATCTTCTAACTGAATTTATTTTCAAATATAAATCTTAAAATAAACATTTCCAAATATTTTTCCAGCGGAAAAGTATAAAAATCCCGTAGAAAATGTATAACTTAGCTGGTTGAATTAATTTTAAATATAAAATCCCCTTGACTAACACTTCACACAGCAACTCTCCCATGGATTTCCCCATGGGTATCCCATAACCGAAAATCCCGAAACCCAATTCCTAAGCTGCTTCTCCGTAAACTTTTCTTATCCCCAACCCTAAACTCCTGTCGATTGATTGGCTCTCAATATTTTTGTTGTGTGAGCTGCTTACTTAACCCATTGATGCCCCTCCGTCCGTCCGTCCGTCTGTGTGTCTAGAATGCTAACAACTTTACTTTGCAGGCTGCCACTGGCTCCATCTGCTGCCACATACCACACACACACAGAAAACCGAAAGCCACGACGGCCACAAATTGCTTTTTAATAACTCAACTAAGCTGCAACTCTCAAACATGCAACATGCAACAGAAACAACAACGAAACACACACACACACACACACAACAACCTTCAACAGGAAGTTAAATGAAGGCAACACCAACTACAAAACCAAATACCGAAAACTATTCCCCCAAAAATCTGCATTCCCACAATACTCCATCCTGCAGGATCCTCTCCTGCTGCTGCTCCTCTCTCTCTCTCCTCTGCCTATGGGATGATGGCAAATCTCTGTTTCTGAATAGTTTCCCTCACTCCCTCCCCCCAACCCATCCCTCGCAAAACTTTAAAACTTGAGCAATTTGTGAATTTAGTGCCAAACTTTTGGCTTGCCTTCAATTTTCCTGTGTATTTTGCCACTTTTTCATTATCGTTTCGGTGTCCTGCCTCCCCATCACAATCCCAATCCCATTTCCACTTGCATTGCCATCGCCATCGCCATCTCCATTCCGATTGTGTTGTTCTCTTTCGGTTTGCCCGGAAAATGATAAACTGCTTAGACAAATGCCGAAATATTGCCATCATTTTCCCCACTTGTTTCCCCCCACCGTCCATTGCTACGTGCTTTGTGCATTTGGCAGCTTCTCTGCTCAAAGGATAATCAGGATTATCACTCATTCCCCCAGAGATATAATGAGTTTAATTGCGATTTTTTGGGAGGGATTCCATGGGGCAGATTTGATGGTGAAATTAGTGTCGAAAATAGAATTGGAAGGGTTTGATTTTTAAAGGAGTTTTTGGTGTGTTCCTTCATCAATCTGGAGTAAATTTCCAAGGAAAATAAATTCTATTCTTCACAACTTTTCGCTCACTTAACGGATTTAGAGCCACAAATTGTCATGTCCTTGACAGCCAGCGACTAAATAAACTTTCCCACTAAACACTCCCTCGAAACGCCCCCGAAAACTGCCCCTAAGCTCGCCGCTCTGTATTTTAGGGGTTAAACAAGTCTGTGGCACAACACCTCGCGACGACATAAACCCAACATTTAAATAGTTATGAGAATGCCACACAGAGCCAGCCAGACCAGACGCTCGACTGCAGCATGCAACATAAAATGAAACTATTAGGGTAACAAAATGCCATGGACTTTAGTGCAGCATCAAAAGGGGCAACCAGAGGGAGAGATACTGACAGACAACAGAAGGCGAGATGCATACAGCTGATACCCTGTAATTGTGGAGCACATGCCCAATCAGTGGGTGATGCTTGCAACATTGTGTAAGCCTCAAGGATGTGTGTCTTAAATTTTATGCTATTTTATTTAAATTTATTTAAAATCAAAACATATTTTCCCAAAGACTTTTCCGTTTCTTTTGCAAAACAAAACGAAATTAATTTTATTTTTAACATATCACAATTATAGGGTATTCGTCCAGTTTTTAGTGCCTTTTCTTGTTGAATTTTTTTGTTGTGGTAATAAAAACTAATTAAATCTGCACGGTGGGAAAAAAACAAGTCCCTGAAACCAGAGACGGAGGAGGGAGCTCCCATCCAAAACAGACAGCGGGTAGAATAGAAGAGACTATGGGAATCTCTGCTCTGCTCTCTCATTTCTCCTCTCCTTTCTCTCTCATTCTCCATCGCTTCTCATTCACTTTGTAGTCATCGTCTAGTGCTCTGGTCTGGTTCTTTTTGGTCTGTGTAACATGTTTTAACACTTTACGTCTAGCCAGAGAAACAACAGGGATAGATAGAGAGAGAGAGTGAGAGAGAGAGAGATAAAGACAGTGATACAGTGAGAAGGAGTGAGAAAGTACAGGGATCTGTGGAGAGCAATTCAAAATCCCATTGAAAATTTAATAACCAAAAATGTTTTGGGGGTAAAAAGTTGCTGCCATTTTTTTTGCATCCTATTTCTGGCTCCTGGCTCCTGGCTCCTGGCTCCTGGCTCCGCTCTCCCCAGCTGCCAAATTGCTAAAGTGAGGCTCTCTCTGTGTCTCCATCTCTGTCCCTCTCCCTCTGGCGCACTCTGCTGCTGCTGCTGCTGCTAATTGTTGTTGTTATTCATTTATGTTTTATGCCGCATTTCCCGCTGTCGTTGTAGCTGCTGCATCTGTTTTACTTCTCTTTGGATACCCTGTAATGGCAGTGGGCAACCTGGGTATGTTTGACTTGTGCAGCAGTCCGAGTTCTCTTTGCATTAAAGGGTATCCCATAGTAGGTAGAGAGTACTTCCCTCCTTAGGTTTTTTGATGACAAAAAAACTTTTGCCTGGCAGACAGCAGCAGCAGCGAAGTATCCCCTCGTCCTCGCTCCCTCTGTGGATTGTTGTTGCACTTGTAATTATTATTGTTGGCACTTTTGATGCCCTGTAATTGTTGTTGTTGCTCCTCCAAAGTAATAAGCAGCCGCCGCTGCCGCAGAACCGCGGAAACAACCAAAAAACAAAGCCAAAAACAACAAAAATCACAGCAGAGCAGAGCAGAAGTGTCGACAAAACGAAAATGTAATAAAATTTTGTTGGCAAACTTCCGAAGCGACGAAGACGAGTGCCAAAACAGGAAGTTGAATGGGGCAGAGAAAGTGCGGGGGGTGAAGAGTGAAGTGGTAGTGGAGCGGGGGGCACACACACACACACCGACACATAATGGCGTCGTAAGCAGGTGTAATTGAATGGCCTAGACGCCACACCGCCCCACCACCACACCGCCACTTCACTCCCTTCGGTGGCTTCGGTGCTCCAGTGCTCCACTCCTTTGGGGAGTACTTCCGCTTTTGGCACGAGACTTGGAATCACTGCCGTCTGTCTCTGTCCCTGTCCCTGTCCCTGTCCCTGTCTACTCTCCTTGTCTCTGCCACTCTCTGTCGCTGTCGCTGTCTCTGTGTGTGAATTTTCCTCGCAGGAAAACTCTCACACTCCTAGATGCATTGTGCACTGGCATTAAATGTGATAATTGTATTAATTGCGCGACGGTTTGCCACAAAAGCAGGAAGGAAAAAAATGTGGTTAAGGGAAAACGCGCAGGGAAATGATGGCAAATGTTTGAGAGAATATTTAATCGGATAAGGATATGCCCCAAAAGTGGAAAAGGAAGCAGGAAAGAAGGTAGAAAGAATGCGCAGACAAAGGAAATATAATGAAAATTATTGGAAAGTTATATTTTCATTCAGAAATTGTTTTCTTAAATGGAAAAACAGAAGATGAAAAGTGTGGAAAGTGGCGCTAAATTCAAGGCAAATAAACATAAATTACTTGTAGTTAATATTATTATTATTTGATCCTTCCTAAAGTCATATTATTGCAATCATTCAATACCCCAAAGCCATTCCCCCTTAAATTACTCTCAAAATTAATTACCGAAATTAATAGTTGAAATTGGAATATGGCGAAATGGAGAAGCCATATTTAATTAGTCCTTAAATTGAGACCTCAAATGGGATTCCAAATGAGATTCTAACTAGGTTTATGACTTGACTACCCCTCGAAGCAGCAGGACAGCAACAGGACAACTGAAGAAGCCTTTGGGCAGGCGGCAAACACATCAAAGGCTTGCCACAGCACCAAAGGGCAAATGCTAATTTGTTATTTTATTGGCCAGGCCAAGACTACCCACCCGTCCCACTGCCACTCCTACTATCCCTGCAGAGAAGTGTCCTCCAGACACTTTAAAATTAAAAGCAAATTTGTCCAAAAGAAGCAACAGACAACCGCAAGGGACAGCACAGCACACCGCTCTCTACAGTCATTTATCATCGCCGCGTGGCGCAAACGGCGCCTAAGCTTCGGCGGACACTTGACAGCCAGGAAAATCCTAGAAGGAGCCACTGACATTGCGGATTAAAGCACTTTCCTTCGAGGCCTAAAGTTCAGAGAATGCCACAGAATGTTGCAGCAGCAGCAGCAGCAGCAGGAGGGAGGCTGGTCATCGAAACGAAAGATCAAACGAGAGAATCGAAAGATGGAATCTCTCCTCCAAATAGAAAGTGGAACAGAAATTGAGAAATTGATGATTGCCGCTGGGAAATCGACTGGGAAATTCTCCGATTCCGATTCTGATTCTGATTAAAATATGTAAATTTCCCTCAAGGAAAAGGCTGGCCGAAAGATGGAAAAGCGATGGAAATGCAAGAGAAATTATGAGAAATGGAAACCATGGCCCGCTTCCCCTGGAATTCTTTAAGTGGCATCCTCCACTCCCGTGTCTCCCCTCCTCCTCCTCCTCTTCCACCCCCTCCGATTGTCCATTTTGTCTCTGATTTCCCATCCGGCAATTGCTGTTCCTATCATTGGGATCCCATCTATGAGGAGTCCTCCCAGCCAGCTCCCCTTCTGATTGCCCGTTGCCCGATTCCATGAGCGGATCAACGCAATGGCAAAACAAACTTATGTCTGCCCCCCGCCTCTGCCGCCGTCTACTCCGTCTGTCCAGGAGGGAAGGGAGAAGCGACGTAAACAGCATGAAAGACGTTGCTAACAAGAGTCTAAGCCGCTTGCAGGAGGCCACAAATGATTCCAAGAGAGAGAAAGGGTGCGAAAGGGGAGAACGGGAAGCCGCAA